AAAAAAAAAAAAAAATGGTGTGGAGGAAGGCTGGGAATGTGGTGTAGTGAGTGCCCCTGGGTTCAATTCCTGCTACCGAAAAAGAATAAAATAAAAATTTATATCATTTTTATGAGGATTTATCTTTTTCTATCAGTGGTAATAGCAGTATTATATTGTTTTGCATGAATGTACTAAAACTTACATAGCCATTTCTTTTTTTAAAAAATATTTTTAGTTATACATGAACACAATATTTTTTAGTTATACATGGACACAGTATCTTTATTTTGTTATTTATTTTTTAATGTGGTGCTGAAGATAGAACCCAGTGTTCTGCCACTGAGCCACAACCCCAGCCCTAGACATTTCTTTTAAGACATTTAAATTGTTTCTCCATTTTTTTTTTACTATTATAAATAATACCGGATAATCCCATTTGATTATAGTAGATAATTCTTTCAAAATACCATTGGAAAATTTTTCATCTGTATTCTTTAGTGAAATAGCTCTCAGAGAAAGAGATCTCTGCCAGATTTTAGAGTCATGCTTAACTTAACCTTAATTTGTAGAAACATTCTGATAGCTTTTTTTTTTTTTTTTTTTTTTCTTTCTTTATTTCTCTTTGTTCGCAATGTTACATGCTTGTGCCAATTTGGTATTTGGTATTGGCAGTTTAACCCAGGGGCACTTTATCACTGAGCTGCATTTCCAGCCCTTTATATTTTTTTTATTTTTAGACAGGGTCTCACTGATTTGCTGAGCCTTGCTAAATTGCTCAGACTGGCCTTGAACTTGCTATCCTCCTGCCTCAGCCTACCAAGACACTGGGATTACAGGCATGCACCACATTACCCAGCCACCTAAGGAACTTTCAAAAATGCTTGTCAAGGCCTCGGGCAATTTAGATAAAAGTTTCCCAGGTAATTCTATTCACTCTCAAAATGCTTGTGGTGGTGATTCTGAAATGAAGTCTGAGAAATTCTTGAGGGAGAAAAATTTGAGTAGATGGCGGTAATTCTGAAGTGGAGAAGTGGACTAAAGGCTGGAGGAAGACATGGAGGTTGGAAGTTCTGGAAAAGCTCCACACAGGAAGGGAAAATTGAACTTGTTCTAGAATGATGTCTGGGAATTTTTGCCATATAGCTGAGGGAAGAAAGTACACTGTGATCAGAATAGGATGTACAAAAGAGAATATATTATTAGGGCAGAGTTCATGTGGTAGAAAATATGAGGTGTTATGGCAGAAGGGCAAAGTCTGAGAAAGACGAATCAGTAGTCTGGAAAAGGGTGAATTAAAGCAGAGATCTAGAATAATCTAGAACAACATTGTCCCAAAGAAATAGGAGCTATATCTGTTAGTTATTTTAATTTACTAGTTTTCAAAATGTGAAAAATAGCAGATAAAATTAATTTTAGTAATACATATTATTTAACCCAATATATCCAGAATATTATAATTTCTGTTATTAATATTTTAAAATTACTAAGGAGGTATTTTACTTTTTTGGTACTAAATCTTTGAAATCTTTTATGTATTTTACACTCAACAAATAAGCTTGATGTAGTTAAGGACAGCAAGATCAGGATAACTACAGCCTAGTGCATGATAGCAGAGCTTATATTTTATTTTTAATATAGTGGATACTATTGATTTTAGGCAGTGAAGGGCCAGGGGTTGTGACTCAGTGATAGAACACTTGCCTAGCATGCATGAGTCACTGGGTTTGATCCCCAGCACTACATAAAAATAAATAAATATAATAAATGTATTGTGATTTTAGACAATGAAACAGCTATACTACAGAGTGCTGAAATGGTTCAAAGTAATAAGGTGAAATTATATACACTAGTATGAAAAGATCTTCAAGATACATAGTCAAATGTAAAAGGCAGGTTGTAGAATAACATGAAAGTCATAAAACATAACTTATGTATGTGTAAAATATGGACAAGAGACTTGTAAATGTATACACCAAACTGTTAAGAGTCATTGCTTCTGGAAAGCAAAATGGGATGGATTAGTTGTGGGGGTGAAAGAGGGCTGTCATTTTTCACTTGCCACTATATTTGAATTTTTGTAACAGCAGAAATAATTGGGCCACAAGGAATCAGTGATTCTATAAACAGCCTTAGTTTGGAAGGAAAACAGGAAGATAGCTAAGTAGGGATATAGGGTTACAAGACAAATTGCCCCTCATGACTTTCTTGACAGATATACTAGATTCTTTGTAGAGTTATATAATTGACTAGCATATATAACCCAACATTGCAAACACATGATTACTGCTTCTAATAAATCCCACCATATGTTCCCAGTATTGCCATGGGAACATTTGTAGGGTTGATCCCTAGTTGAGCAGGAATGTGATCTTGTAGGAATCAGTGACATTCAAAGATGTGGCTGTGGACTTCACCCGTGAAGAATGGCATCATGTGGACCCTGCTCAGAGGAACTTATATAGGGATGTGATGCTGGAGAACTACAGCCACCTGGTTTCTCTTGGTAAGAATCACTTCCCTTGGTGTCCCTCCTTTGGCGGGTCTTTCCTTTCTCAGTTGCTAAGGGTGTGGTGCTCATAGTCTAGGTAACTATGAGCAGGGTGTCCAGGGATTAGAGCTTATTCATGTCTTTAGGACTCACCTTTCTAAGATTTTGAGCCTTCTCTTTAGGTGAAAAGTCTTTATTTGCAGAAATGAAATAGGCACTTTGATTGCATGACTCCTTAAGTTGCACCTTTTTTTTCCTTCAGAGTTCCTGAGGATCAAGGACTAGTACTGATTATAGGAAGGTTCTTTGTCCTTGCACAAACACCCAAATCTTGTGTATTTACCCATGAGCAGGGTATCAAGTTTCCAAGCCAGAAGTGATCTTCAAATTGGAGCAAGGAGAAGAGCCATGGATATCAGAGGGAGAAATCCAAAGGCCTTTCTGTTCAGGTAAATGAGTGAGAATTCTACGTGCCCCCTCCCTAAGCACAAGCTTAGGGAGGGGGCACCATCAGCAAGCTTAGGAACCTCTTAGACCTGCAGAGGAAGCTGAAGCCATCTTCTGAGTGACATCTATGCATGTCTGCTTCTCCAATGATACCTCTCCTGAAAGTAGGTCTTAAGAGAAAATGGTACCCCTTTTTCTTAAAGTAGCCTTTTACCCTAGCTCAGAAATACTATCTCTGCCTATCCTGAATATGCCTGCTAGATTATATTTTCCTTGAGTATTCTCAGACTACCTTCATTATGTAGTAATCCTTTTTCTTACTCTTTCAGACATGAATTGAACTTCCATATCTCCTCCTTATTTTGTCTTGTTGCTTTCACTGTTGGATGCTGTGGACTTGTAGGAAATACTTCAGCCTTGATTTTTTCTTTATAACCTGCTTCTAGACACCTTTCACTGGCCACATTCCTGAAACACCTGTTTTAGGAGCAACACTATCTTGCTTCCATCCTGTATTTATGCTGGTTGGATTCATTGCCTCCCTCTATATCCCTCTAGTACGTCCTTTCCCAATCTCCTGGCTTGTATATGGGGTGGGGTTCTGGGTTTTAAGTCTGTGGTAGTCAGCTTTCTGTTACTGTAATGAAATGCCTGGGGTGACTGACTTAAGAGAAAAGGTTTATTTTGGCTCACAGGTTTAGAGGTTCCATTCATGATCAATTAGCCCTGTTGCTTTGGGTTTGTGGCAAGGCATCACATCATGACAGGAATGTTTGGCCAAGTGGAATCTCTCACTTCATCAGCCAGGAAGCAAAAGAGAAAAAAGATCCCATGATCCTCTTCAAGGGCCTTTACCCAGTGACCTAAAGAATTCCCATTGGGTCCCATCTCATAAAGATTCTATCACCTCCTAATAGCTCTACCCTGGGGACCAAGCCTTTAATACATGGGCCTTTGGAGGACACATAACATCCATAATGTAACAGGGTCTTTTGTTTTTGCCCCAAGTGAAGCCACTTAGGAATCTTCAGCCTTCTCTGCTTTCTTTCTCTGTGACCTTTCTAAAAAGTTGCCTGCCTTTGTAGTAGTTGCAGCTCTTTATTCTATGCTGTGGACCCATAACTCCTCCTTACTTGTACCCTGGTCATTTTTCTCCTTCTCACAGGACCTTCAGTTGGAAGTCTCATGGAGCTCATATTATCTTTTGTCTTTCATCTCCGGTCAGCACATTTTGCTACTTTGCCCATTATTCATTTCTGCCTTTGCCTCTTAGAAACCACTGGGTTTTCTGATCCCTTAGGCCAGACACAATAATCAGTTTTTGGTTTTTTTTTTCTTTCAACCCAGGTTATTTTCCTCTTTTGTGAAGCATCTTCAATTTTCCTGTCTCTTAACTTCCACTGGTGGCATCCTAAATTATGCCTTGGGCTAAGATAGTATATATACTATAATTCACAGGTAGAATTTCTCACTGTCTTTTCTTTTTATAATCCATGCTGAATTGTTAAAACAGTGGCTTTATCAAGATATAATTCCCATACTGTAAAAGTCACCTTTTCAAAGCATATAAGTCAGTGTTTTTTTTTTGTGTGTGTGTGTTTCAGAAAGCTGTGTAAATACCACTACTGTGTACACTATATTATGCAAAAAGTTAGAATGTGCTCATCACCCTCAAAAAATTCATCACTCCAGAAACCCATTAGCAACTCACAGCCCACTCTCCACTCCTCCCAGCACCTGGAAGCCATTGATCTGCTTTCTGTATATGCTGGACATTTTGTATAAATAGATTTATATAATATATGACTGGCTTCTTTAACTTGGTACAATGTTTTCAAGGTTGATGCATGCTGCAGCCCATATAAATACTTCATTTCTTTTTATGCTGAGTTATTTCATTGTATGAATATGCCACATTTTGTTTAACTGTTCATCAGTTCATCGACCATATTGATTTTTCATATATTATCTTCATAAATCTTTCACCTCTGACAAAACTTTCCTTTTATTTACTGTACTCATTATGAGGAAACAGAAGTTCCTTTAATTTTTTATTAAATTATTTTTTATTCTAATTTGTTATACATGATGGCAGAATGTAATTCATCTCTTATACACATATAGAGCACAATTTTTCAAGACACTGATTGTAAACAAAGTATTTTCACACCATTTGAGTCCTCACACGTTCTCATATATGTCTGTCTCCATCACATCGTCTTTCCTACCCCCATGCCCTATCTAAAGTTTCTCCATTCCTCCCATGATCCCCCCCCCCATCACCATTATGATTCAGCATCCTCATATTGAAGAAAACATTCAGCCTTTTGTTTTGGGGGATTGGGTTACTTCACTTAGCATTATATTCTCCAACTCCATCCATTTACCTGCAAATGCCATGATTTAATTCTCTTTTAATGCTGAGTAATGTTCCATTGTGTATATATACCAAAGGTTCCCAAAGTTCTCTTAATTTAAAAGTTCCCTATAATATCTTCTAGAATTACCTTTCTGTTCCTACTAAAACAAACTCCCCTTAGTTTGAAATGAATAATGGGCAAAGTAGCAATTCCCCTTATAAATAGTATATGCTTTCCCTCATTAGGGAGTATGTTCTACCTCCCCAAAGCCATCTATTCTTTGAGTTCAGATTCAAATAAAACCTGATATACATTAATGTATTTATTTCTTCCCTGGTCACAAATATAAGTTCTGTCCTCTCCACTATACAAACTCAGATTTATTTATATTTCTGTATATACTGTCTGTTTGATTGACTATTATAGAATCTGGCTAAGGAGAAAACTTTCTCTTTCCTTAATTTCAATAAACTTTCTTGAATGCCCCACTGATAAGGATTCTAAAAAAATACAAAGCATTCTCAGGCCTTAAGAATTTAGAATTGATTCTTGAAGGGTAAGGAATTTGAGGTTTAGCGGCTCTTAGTTGTTGTTTTTTCCCTTCTCAACATTTCATTATGAAAAGTGTAAAATATATTGAAAAATTGAAAAAAAAAGTACAGTGAACACAATATACCTACTACCAGAATTATCACATTCATTGTCCTTTGCAATTTTTTATTCTAAAGGACAACGAAATCTTTTTCACATATCTGTTCATCTATCAGTCCACTTTTTGATGCACTTCCAAGGAAGTTACAGGCATGAGTACAATTCATCACTATATACTTCAGCATGCATATCATTAACTAGAGTTTTTTTTTAAGAAAATGTTACAAACAATGAAATGTTTACCTCTTTTATGTACCATCCACATGGTTTTGACAGATGTATTCACCAAATTTCCATTTGTAAGGGCAGAAAGCTTCTTTTCCTTAGTTTTAAAAGCTTGCTTTCTTTAGAACCTAGAAATTAATTAATTCTCTGTTATTGATATTCTGAAGTAAAAACAGAGTTAGAGATTCATTTATATAGCCAACCAAAAAAAAAAAAATCCTTTTTGGTCAAGAGAGGTGATTAATATAGAATCAGAGCTCTTCACTAAAACTATAGTCCCAGTGGTAAGGACAAAGATGATTTGCTGCTGTGCAGTGGTGCATGCCTGTAATCCCAGCAGCTCAAGAAGCTGAGGCAGGAGTTTTGTGAGTTTTAAGCCAGCCTCAGCAACTTAGCAAGGTCCTAATAAACTCAGGGAGGCCCTGTCTCTAAATAAAATATAAAAAAGGGCTGGGGATATTGCTCAGTGGTTAAGGCCCCTGGGCCCATTCTCTGGTACCAAAAAAAAAAAAAAAATTGCCTCTTGAAATTCTACTTTTTCTCAGTTTGTAGATTATAATTCTTGATCTTCAAGTGTGTCAGATATTCATTAACTGAATATTTTTCTCTGCACTACTTGGAGACCCAGATCTTCAGAGGTGACTTGAAAAGAACTATGAAATGAATGTAGTAGGAAGGTGGATTTTGTGGTTGTTTGTAAAATGGACAGGAAACATATAAAGCATACAGGATCCTACAAGATGGAATATGATCCTATTACATTTATATCTATGCCTACACTCATACTCACTTTTTCCTTTGTTCATTAACAAGCCCACCTATATGGGCTTTCCTAATTCACTACAGTCTTACCACACATTCTACATCTATAGTCTTCACTATCACCTCTCCTAACTCTTCCCTTCCTCATTTTGGGTCTTCTCAGAGTATAAGACTGTTTTCAAAACACAATCATGTATAATTTATCTCATTCATTTCCTCATTTCTAATACAGTGGTTAGTTTTAACAGGAAGAATTAGGGGAACTTTTCCACTTTGCATTTCTTTCAGACTGGAAGACCAGGCCTGAAGCCAAATCATCAAATCTGCAGCAGGGTATATCTGAAGTATTCCACAGCACAGATGATTTCTCACATGCCACAATAGAAGACCCCTGGGATATTAGTAGCCAGTTAGAGGGGCATCAGGAAAACTGGAGGAGACATCCAGGGCCAGAAGCATCTACCCAGAAGAAAATCCCACCAGAGGGAAGTTTTGCACAAAATAAATCTGGTGAAGACTCTAGATTGAACACAGACCCGGTTCCACAACTGAACAGTCCTTCAAGCATAAGGCCTAGTGAATGTGAAACACTTGGAAGCAATCTGGGACATAATGGAGAGTTGCTTAATCAGAACAGTGTCCTTGCAAAAAAGAAACCCTATAAATGTAATAAATGTAGAAAAGCCTTTATTCACAGATCATCACTTACTAAACATGAGAAAACTCATAAAGGAGAAGATAATTTCCCCAATGGTACAGGTCAGGGAATTTATCCTGGAAAGAAACACCATGAATGCACTGACTGTGGGAAAACTTTCCTCTGGAAGACACAGCTTATTGAGCATCATAGAATTCACACTGGGGAAAAACCCTTTGAGTGCAATGTGTGTGGAAAGGCCTTCAGGCATAGTTCATCCCTAGGTCAACATGAGAATGCTCATACTGGAGAGAAACCCTATCAGTGTAGTCTCTGTGGGAAGGCCTTCCAGCGCAGTTCCTCCCTTGTTCAACACCAGAGAATTCACACTGGAGAAAAGCCTTATCGCTGTAATCTCTGTGGGAGGTCCTTTAGGCATGGTACATCCCTCACTCAACATGAGGTCACTCATAGTGGGGAGAAACCTTTCCAGTGTAAGGAATGTGGGAAAGCCTTTAGTCGATGTTCTTCCCTTGTCCAGCATGAGAGGACTCATACTGGAGAGAAACCTTTTGAATGTAGTATATGTGGGAGGGCTTTTGGTCAGAGCCCATCCCTTTATAAGCATATGAGGATTCATAAGAGAGGCAAACCTTACCAAAGCAATAACTATAATGTAGATTTCAAGCACAACTTATCTCTTACTCAAGATGAAAATCTACTGGCTGAAGTGAAATCCTACCATTGTAATGACTGTGGAGAAGACTTCAGTCACATTACAGACTTTACTGACCATCAGAGGATCCATACTGCTGAGAATCCCTATGATTGTGAGCAGGCCTTTAGTCAACAATCTGTTTCCCATCCTGGAGAGAAACCTTATCAGTGTAATGTGTGTGGGAAAGCTTTTAAAAGAAGTACAAGTTTCATAGAGCATCACAGAATTCATACTGGAGAGAAGCCTTATGAATGTAATGAATGTGGAGAAGCCTTCAGTCGACGCTCATCACTTACCCAACATGAGAGAACCCACACTGGAGAGAAACCCTATGAATGTATTGACTGTGGAAAAGCCTTCAGTCAGAGTTCATCTCTTATTCAGCATGAGAGAACTCATACTGGAGAGAAACCATATGAATGTAATGAATGTGGGCGGGCCTTCCGAAAGAAAACCAATCTGCATGATCATCAGAGAATTCATACTGGAGAAAAACCATATGCTTGTAAGGAATGTGGGAAAAACTTCAGTCGAAGCTCTGCTCTTACAAAGCACCAGAGAATTCATACACGAAATAAACTGTAGGAACCCTACACTTAGGAATATATAGAAAGCTTTAGCTAAAATACTGTTCCAATTCAGTATTCAAGGATTTTTATTGGAGAGAAAGTTCAAGAATGTAATTGTGTGTGTGTGTGTGTGTGTGTGTGTGTGTGTGTGTGTGTGTGTGTTGTGTGTGGAGAAAATTTAGCACTAGACAGAATTTTATACAATAAATTAAAAGCTGCATTCTCATATGTGATTAGAGGTGTTTGTAAAAATTACAAACAACATATATAGCCATTTGGAAATTATATTCCTACACATTGGACTTTATAAAGCTTTTAATATGAGTATTCAGATCACCAACTTTGACAGCTTGACATGTAACTTCCACTGTTTACAGCCTTTAAAAAAACAAACACCCACAAAAACTGCTACACTAATGACAAAAACTTATTTTAAACATTGCTTGATAGTTGCTCTCAACTGCAATTTTTACATGAAATTCTCTGTGGAAACCAGTTCCACCTCCAAGAATTTACCAATTAAAGAATTAGGTAATTAGCCCAACCACTTCATTGTACAGATGAAGAGGACTGAAAGCCAAAGATTTGAGGTGGTTTGTGCATTATAGGATGGTACATCCTATAATGAGAAAGCTGACTGGAGAATGGAGGTTTCCTGAGTCTTTGGCTCCATAGCATTGCTACTATGAAAGGGTATTCTGGAATTCAGAAGGCTTTAAAATAAATTTTAAAATAGATACCCATTGGTTGGTTGGGCACTTTGAAATTTCTAAAATCAAAAGAGACAGCAAAGTATGCAAATTTGTCTCAAACTTACAAACATTGCAAGCTTACAAGCCAAAATGTTAACAGAAACTAGATAGTTGAATTATGGGTAACTTTTCCTTTTCCTGGTTATATTATACTAACATGCCAGTTTTATGGAACTAGCAAGTCCTTTTATTGTACTTTTCATTGCACTCCCATGAAAAAAATCCTGCCCCGAGTTTCCTGTAGCAGATCAATAGGAAAACAACACCAAACTTGCAGATTTTTTTTCCAAATTAATTTTACACTGCAGAAGTTCAGTTAACCAGTTACCCGTTGCCATAAATTCTGTCTTTTGACTCAGAGAAACAGCATGCTTTGGCTCATTGTGTGTGCAAAAGAATATTTTGCCATTACCAAAAAAAAAAAAATCGGCTTGTTTTAGTTGCATGGTGTTTCTCCATCTGAAAAGCTTGAGCTAAATATTAATCTCCCACTCTGACCCTTAATGGCCCCAAGTGCCTCCCATAAGTTATCTGAAAAGAATTTCCAGAACCTTCATTGGTTAACATCAGTAGTGCAGACAAATTTGAAAGCAACTGTGGACATTGATCCCTTCACGCAAGAGTCATTCCCCTGCAAGACAAGCAAGTTTCCCAGCCCTGATTATGATTCTCAGGGAGGGGTGAAATGAGTGGTGATGATGGTGAACACTTCATACTTTATTCTTTGTGTGCCAGACGACAGGAGTCAACACCCTTCTCTAATCCTCAATGAGGTAGCTCTTAAACAGTCTTCATCATTTTTTTTTCAGGGACAAATAAGCATGAGTGTTGAAATGTGGTATGTGAAGCCCAATGAGTGTGTCACCATAGTGAATCTGCCTTTTCTAGATGTTAGCCCTTCAAAGAAACCTTTTTCTGTGACACTTGTTGCTTAGCACACACAATGTCAAAGCCATGCTTGTGATGACACATAGTTTGATGATGGGTAATTCAGTCAGGTCCTCTCTGACCATGTAGTTAGGATACCTGTCAGAAACTTGTGCTGAGGGATAAGGGGACCCTATATTGGACTGCTTGGAGGGAATCCCATGAAATGTAACCAATTGAGTGCTGCTTCACTGTTACTGAAGTTTATAAAAACTCAGTTCCAGAAGACCCAGAGGGAGACCACTAGTTTATGTGTGGAACAAGTCTAAATCTAAAGTTGATTCTCCATTGATTCTCAGCACATCTTCGTTGACTCCCTAGGGAGAAAGCCAAGGACAGATGAGTGACTAATTGAGCAGAGGGCTTTCCGAATACAAGCAGTCATGCACAGTACACTTATGAATATCCAGCCTTTTAGGGCTATGTGAAATGCATCCTGTAACATGATTGTATTCTTTCAATAAATTGCCTTCTGAGTTGAATGGGAGTCAGTTTGTCTTTTTCAATTTTCAGAACATGGCTAAGATAAAGGATGCCACATCAAGAAGAAGGGATTAACTGCTAAACTCTTCACAGCCAGGTAAGTTAATAGTAGCTATCATTTATTTATGTTTAGTGTGTGAAAGACATTGTGCTTAGTGCTTCACTTCCATCATTTCATTTCATCCTCACAACTCCTGGTTAGAGATGCTGTGGCAGCCCTTGTCTTTGCCCAGTGTTTTCTTTTCTTCTCTTGTAACAATCCCTCCTCAATGACCACAGGAACACAAGTCAGTGTGTCCCCAGAGCTCAGTGATATTTCTAGGGTCAGGCATGTGACCTAAATCGGGGATAAATATGCATGAGGGTATTTAGTCCTGATTTTTAGGGGCAAATCAATCAGAATCCTTTGCTAGAATTTTTTCAAAGTTAAGCTTTCAAGGCAACTTTTTTTTTCTTTTAGTGGTGGTGGGGGGTGTGCTGGGAATTGAACCCAGGGGTGCTTTACTACTGATCTACATTCCCTCCCCTTTTTATTTTTTGAGTCAGGGTTTTGCTAAGTTGCTGAGGGCCCTACTGAATTGCTGAAGCTGGCCTCAAACTTGGAATCCTCTTGCCTCAGCCTCCTGAGGCAGGCATGTGTCACTATGCCTGGCTCAAGGAAACTGTTTTTGAATATCTAGGCTGTAAAGGTGAAGGCCTAGAGCTTCCTAGAGTCTGATTTTTGTTATTAGTGATGGGAGGTCTCCTGTAGTAGCAGAAGATGAAGCTGACATCCAAGTATTCTTGTTTCTATTCCCTGAGGTCCCTTGGACCTAGTTCAATTCCTGAAGCTCTCTGGAATTCCATGAGCTCCCCACTATCAGTCCAACAGTTCTTCCTTTTTTCCTAATTTTTTGTGTTTCTGTTGCTTGCATTAAATAAACTGAATACATGTATTATAGCCTTGTTAAATAAATAACTTACCTACAGTTGTACTGCCCAAGACAGATTCAGACTATAAATCCAGGATTTTCTGACTCCACCAGTATAGCTCTTATCCCCAAACTCTGATGTCTCCAGAACCATGTTACATTCAGGAAGTACATGTAATTCATTTGGGGATGAATGGATGAAGGAATATGATGACAGGTTAGGTTGGAAGCTGAGCAAAGACAAAGTGGCAAAGGACTCTGGAATATTTTTCTTGACTATTCAATAAATTAAATGTCCTAACTACATTCTTAATATATCAGTTATTTACATTTGCCTATATGATAGATAAAATCTTGTATTATGCTTTTAAAAAGTTTTTCATAAATGTCTTTCATGTTGATGCAGTGTCTTGATCTTTTTAAGTCCCTTATTTGGGTTGACTTTGGTATTGGTTTTTAAAATAATGACATGGAACATTTTTATGTTTTAAAGCACCCTATTTTTTTTCTTACAATATCCACAATGAGATCAAATAAAATCTACAGAATGGTATTACAGAGTCAGCATGCACAGAGTAGTATGCCAGTTGTTATTCGATTCAGACAAGAATAAGCTGCATGCAACAGTATTCAGTGCAGGATGAATAGTCTCAAAATTGCAAGAGAGCCAGGAGAAAACCAATCTCCACTCCTGTGTGTTTGTGGAAGGGCCCAAGGCAAGCACTATATCTGCCAGAGTATCTAACACACCTTACAAAAGGTAAAAAAATACTTTTGAATTTATCAGATAGTGATGCTCAGTTCTTTACAGTAACAATGGGCTTTTAGAAAATTGGTTAATTACTCTCTGTAAAAATGCAAATGTCACTTCAGGAAAGTTTTTGCTAACTACATCCTACATCAACTAAATTAATCTCCCTTCATTAAATTTTCATAGCTTACTGTAAATGTCCTTTATGTTACCACAATTTATGTTTGTAATTACTTGGTTTTTTTCTCATACTAGATTGTGAGTCCCAATAGGGAGGCTCTTTTTGTTCTGCTTATCACAACGCCAGTCATATAGTTGGTACTTAATATAGTCTTGTAAAGTGAGCACTTGAGTAGGGAAAGACAAAGCAGATTTGCTCATAAATAAAAAGATGCCCAACCTTGAAATCAGAAGGTTGAAAGGTAAAAATGTGACACTATTTCATAGCAGTTAGGCTGGCAAAAATTTAGGAATCTAGCAGGGGAAAATTGAGAACTCTTATTAATCTTTGTTGAGAGGGAAGGTAATCTGGTCTAATCATTTTGGGGAGTAATTTGGGAATATCTATTAAGATTGAAGCTAGGCATACTTCATGACCCAAGAATTCCACTTGTAGGTACATACCTATGCTAGAAATTCTCCTGTTAGCACAAAGAAACATTCATAAGGGTATTCACAGCAGCAATGTTTGAAACAGTAAAAATGTGGGCACTTACATTTGGAACCATATCAATAGATTCATGTGTGGTATATCCTTATTATTCAAGACAGTATTTAAATGAAGGAACCAAAACATCTGGCAAAAAGTTAAAAATCTAGTTCTGCCTATTCCACTCTTGTACCCATGCAGCCAAATGGAGAAAAACAAAACCATGATGTTAGTCCCACTTAAATTTCTTGTCTGCCAATCTCCAGCATTTGTTTCCCTAGTCTAATCATCATCCCCCTCTCAGGTGCCATTTTGTGGGGTGGGGGAGGTGGGAATTGAACCCAGGGCTTTGTGTATGCAAGGTAACATTCAACCAACTGAGCTATTTCCCCAGCCCTCATGTGCCATTTTATACCTTCTCTTTACTCAAACCTCTTAACACTTAGCCCCACTCCTCCTTCAGCTGATGACCCTTTTCCTAGTTAACTGAGGAAAAAAAGCAATCAAAAGAGAACTCCTTGATTTTCTGAGTTTGGCAAGAACTGATCAAAAATAAATAAATGAAAAATAAAAATGAGTAAAAGGAAGAAGTGAAGGAAAAGTGGAGGGGATGGGGACTGAGATGGAATAAATCAAATTCCATACATGTATGATTTTGTCCAAATAAACACACATACTATGTGTAATATAATGCTCTAAAAAAATGTGAAAAAAGAGAACTTGTATGTGCATCTTGTCCTTGTGCTCTTCCTTCCTTATCCTCTAGTGGACTTCATTCTTTTATTGAGACCAACTCTTCTTCTAGTGTATTAGACCCATCCTTAAATGACAACATAATTCCTACAACTGCTCTTTTTCCTGCATCTTAAAAGCTTCTTTTCTACTAAGTGTTGTCCATCAGCATAATAATGTGTATTTTTTTCCTCAGATATACATGGTATACTCTCCATCTCCTTCCACTTACCCACTACTCCATTTCTTCCTTCACTTAATAGCAGTTTTCCTCAATAGAGATGTGGAATGCTCATTGTTTCCAATTCTTCCAATCTTTCTTGCATCCACTACCATCAGTTCTTTGTTTCTCCTCTTGTTAAAGGTCACAGTGACCCCCACATGGCAAAATGTGGTAGTATTTTTTTGGTCTGCTTGACTTTTCAACATAATTTGCCTCATTTTTGATATATGTTTTCACTTGGCTTCCAGGTGATACTTACCTAGATTTCCTTATAATTTATTGGCAATTACCTCTCACAAGTTATCTTTCCTTGCTCTAGATGTGGGAATTCCTTTAGGGCTTAGTCTTTGGATCTGTTTTCTTTTTCTACAGTCACCACCTTGGGACTCTGAGCCTGTCTCATAGCATAAAAATCTACTTTATGACAACTTCAAATTTTATGTCTCCATCCTATGATTCTATATTCACAATAACCAACTGCTTACTTTGTATTTCCACTTAAATGTCTTAACCTGCCTCAAATTTTTTTTAAATATAGTTTTTTTGAGAGAGAATTTTTAATATTTATTTATTTATTTTAAAGAGAGAGAGGACAGAGAGAGAATCTTTTTTTTAAAAAAATATTTATTTTTTAGTTCTCGGCGGACACAACATCATTGTTGGTATGTGGTGCTGAGGATCGAACCCGGGCCGCACGAATGGCAGGCGAGCGCGCTACTGCTTGAGCCACATCCCCAGCCTGAGAGAGAATCTTAATATTTATTTTTTAGTTCTCGGCAGACACAACATCTTTGTATGTGGTGCTGAGGATCGAACCTGGGCCACAAACATGCCAGGCAAGCGTGCTACCGCTTGAGCCACATCCCCAGCCCTGACATGCCTCAAATTTGATATGTCTAAAGATAAACTCAATCTCCCCCTTCTCCTCTATAAGTATGTTCTTCACTCAGTCTTTCCAAATGAGAAAAGGCAACTCCCATCTCTCGAGTTCCTCAGGCCCTAAACCAGGTAACCACTGTTGATTGATTTTTGTTCACACCCCACAGCCAAGCAATAGTAATGCCTGACTGCTAATTTTCTGGATTTTAAAAAATGGCCATTTCTCTTTCTCTACTGATACCACCATAGTCCAAGTAATCATCAACATCTCTGGCCCAGATTTTTGCAACAGCCCTCAAATTTGTTTGTGATTTCATCCCTACCTCTTTGTGTTCACAGTTTAGCAGCCAGAACCATATTGTAAAAAGATCTGCTCAGAGACCTCTAATAGCTCCCCATTTCACTCAATAAATCTAAATGAAAGCCTCACTCAACACTACCTGCTGCCTGATGTCATCTGTCTCTGTCTTCTCATCACTCCCTTCTTGGTAGCACTGCCCCAGGCCCACTAGCTCCCTAAACTAACCTACACAGGCCCAGCCAACTTCTACTTCAGAACTTTCACATTGGCTCTTTCTCCTCCCCTTTAGATCTTTGCTTAAGTATTTTTTTTTTTAGAGACAGAGAATTTTTTAATATTTATTTTTTAGTTTTCGGTGGACACAACATCTTTTATTTTTATGTGGTGTTGAGGATCGAACCCAGCGCCCCATGCATGCCAGGTGAGCGTGCTACAGCTTGAGCCACATCCCCAGCCCTTTGCTCAAGTATTTTATCAGCAAAGAGCCCTTCCTTGACTACCAAAGTCCAAATGTTTTCACTGATATGCAGATGCTATTTCACAATAAGGGGAG